TATTTTTATATTTCCATAATTCTATATTTCTATATTTTCATATTTCCATACCTTTATATTTCTATATTTTCATATTTCTATATTTCCATACTTCTACATTTTTATATTTTTGTATTTTTATATTTTTACATTTCTACGTTTCTAAATTACTATATTCGTGTATATCTATATTTTCATATTTCTATATTTCTAACTTTCCATATTTCTATATTTCTGTATTTCTATATTTTTATATTTCCATAATTCTATATTTCTATATTTTCATATTTCCATACCTTTATATTTCTATATTTTCATATTTCTATATTTCCATACTTCTACATTTCTATATTCTTGTATTTTTATATATTTACATATCTACATTTTTATAATTCCATTTTTCTAAATTTCTAAATTTCAAAATTTCCATATTCGTACACACCTAAATTCCCATATTTCTATATTTCTATATCCACATTTCTATATCACTATACTCCTATATATCTCTATTTCTACATTTCTATATTTCTAAATTACTTCTCTGGTACACTACCACATGATACATTCGTTATTACAACACGTTAATTACACGGAACTATAAATCAGTAATCTTCCAATTAATTATTAAACACAAAATTAAACATAAATCAAATAAACTTCATTCGACTACACTCGTCTCACTTAAAAACAAAATTAAAAACCATAAAAATGATTCTATAACTTCACCCAGCTAATTACTATCCATCCCAATATTTTATCGACTCATTGTCAGATAAGAATTTCGTTTCACGAAAATTTGCTGAAAAATGATTTCCATTGCCACCAACTATATTAGTCCCCGTGCATGTATATACAAAGTGGCGCGAGCTATCTCTCAATAGAACCGCGACACACGGTTATCGATTGGTACTCGGAAACGACAATATCGAAGATCAATTTCTCGTTTAAATAGATAATTCCGCTTTCGGTCCTAACTAGCGTCCACGATCGAGCTAACGATATCACGAAAGTAAACGGGGAATGTTCGATCAAATCCTGAATCTTATAACTTTAACCATAATTCATGTCCAGGCGAACTTAACGATCGATCAGCGTGGCGGAGTGCGATTGTTAGTACGGAGCGGGTAAGCGATGATAAGTCGCGCGAGCAGAGCTCTGTGTCAAACTGGTATAAATTGTTAAGAGAGCGAAACAACGAAACAGCCGCTATTGAACTGTCAGAAGCTTCGTTTGCATACTTTCTGTGATTTTCCTCGCGAGTTCAGCCAGTGTCTTATCAACGAATCGGTGCTCCGTACCGGTTCGATGTAGTAAGTCACAGGAGCATATACGTATCTCCAATTACTGGCTCCGAACGATTATTATTCTTCCAAAGTGCAAGTTCCGCAATTCTTATCAACGGGAACAGGTGCATTAATTAAACTTTCGAATTATTTGTAAACTATACAGGAAGAGATAATTTTTTGGAAAATAATCATCTGCTGCCACGAAAATAGAAAGTAGAGTAAATAGTATCGAAATTTACATCGATAGGTACAGATATGTTAATTGAGCCTTCGAGTTTAATTTGCATATTATAGAGGAAAATGTTATTTATTCAAAAATAATCGAATAATGTAGCAAAATTGGAAGTGAAGTAAGGAAGTTAGAAATTAAAGTTACAGAGGTATTTCTTGAAATGGATTATAGATTGGAGTTGAAATTCCGCAAGTTTCACCAACGGAAACAGGTGTATTAATTAAACTTTTGAGTTATTCGTAAAGTATGGAGAAATAAATTGTTACATTAAAGAGTCATCTGATGCAGAGAAAATAGAAAGTAGAGTAAATAGTATCGAAATTTATATCAATAGGAACAGGTGTATTAATTAAATTTTCGAGTTATTTGCAAATTATAGACAAAAAATATTATTTACTGAAAAATAATTATCTGGTGTATGAGAAATAAGAATTGCAGTAAATAGTATCGAAATTTACATCAATAGGAACAGGTGTATCAAATAAACTCTCGAGTTATTTGCAAACTATAGAGAAAAAAATATAACTTTTTTTTCTGAAAATAATAAAATTTTAATTTTAAAATAAAATTTTTACTGAAGAATAATTTTCTAGTGTAGGAAAAATTAAAATTGGAGTAAATAGTATCGAAATTTACTTCAATAGAATCAGGTATATTAACTAAATTTTCGAGTTATTTGTAAACTATAGAGGAAAAAATTATTTATTGAAAAATAATTATGTAACTAATTATCTGGTGTATGAAAACTAAGAATTACAGTATATAGTATCGAAATTTCCATCAATAGGAAAAGATATATTAACTAAATTTTCGAGTTATTTGTAAACTATAGAGAAAAAGGAATTATTTATTAAAAAATAATTATGTAATGTAGCAAAAATTGGAATTGAAGTAAAGAAACTAGAGATTAAAGTAGCAGAATTATTTCTAGGCACAGATTATAGATTAGAATAGAAGATTCGATATTTTTACCAATGGAAAGAGGCATATTAATTAAATTTCCGATTTATTTATAAGCTATAAAGAAAAATATTACTGGAAGGATAACTATACAGTGTAACAAAAATAGGATTAATAAAATAGTATAAATAGTCACAAAAGTATTAGTATGCTTCGAATAATTTTTATTTCTTTATGATAGAAATTTCAAAAATTTCCATTTATAGTAATCGATATGGTATTACCAATTTCACAAAATTGCAAAAATACAAATATTACTCATTCTGTAATGATAACATTATTAAATTTAATTGTTGCAACAATTTTCCAAATGTCCCTCTAGGTAAATTTAAAAGAAAAAATTATGAATAATAAAAAAAAAAGAGTCCATTGGAAAATAACCATTCTATGTGACAATATGACAAATTTTCAATAAAAAAAATTGTTACTAACAACATATCTTATTAAAAATATATCTATTTGTAAATTGCAAAAATTACTGAAAAGTTTGTTGAGAAATGTAATTATTTATTTATTTCAATTGTTTTTCTTGTACAGACCACTGAATCCATTTCAATTTCATTTTTTCTGCGTATATGATTGTAACCAATTTTTTTCTTTCTGATACAACCTTTATGTAATATCTGTATTACAATGTTCATGATCCTAACTTTCAACACTTTGCGATACTATCACGTCTTTCTTGTTATTTTTACTTTATGTGCCTGTCTGGTTTTAGCATATCTTTCTCGTCGAATATAAATAGGAACGTGACGAATAGGCGGTATCAATTTAATATGTCATGTGAAACTATGTCTCTTTCAATCACAAATTACCGTTGTAAATAGGAAAGAATCTACGAAGAAGTATAACGAATGCATCTTCTAATGAGTTCGGAAAGAAAGAAATTCTGTTAATGAGAAGATACGTTTATAATTGATCAATGTGTATTAGAATGTATAAATTACTTTCGTGTGAGAACAGGATGTTATATATCGAAGTTGGCTATAAATATAATTAATTAATGAACTTCAGTTATTTCTCTAGATTCTCAATCTTTAATTAATTTCATTTTGCTAGCATTCCCTGTTCCTTATTTCCTAATACAACTTATTTATCAATCACATCTGTTATTTTAAAAAAAAACTCATTTTAATAATACAAAAATTTTCTTAAATAATTACAACTTTTAATAAAACTGTCAAAAATCACGAAATTTATAGACATGTTGAATAATTATTCTGATCAATTCTCTAATATATATACACGTATATTAATATGTATTAATATAATATAATATGTAATGTAAAATAAATAAAATAAATTAATGAATTTCAGTTATTTCTCTGGATTCTCAATCTTTAATTAATTTCATTTTGTTAGCATTCCCTGTTCCTTATTTCCTAATACAACTTATTTATCATTCACATCTGTTATTTTTTAAATAAGAGTCATTTTAATAATACAGAAATTTTCTTGAATAATTACAATTTTTATTAAAACTGTCAATTTCACCAAATCTGTAGACATATTGTGCAATTATTCTGACTATTTCCCTAATATATATACGTATATTAATATATATTAATATAATATAATATGTAATGTAATATGAATAAAATTAATTAATGAACTTCAATTATTTCTCTAGATTCTCAAGTTTTAATTAATTTCATTTTGTTAGTATTTCTTGTCCCTTAGTCCCTAATACAACTTATTTATCAATCACATCTGTTATTTTTCAAAAAAGAATCATTTTAATAATACAGAAATTTTCTTAAACAATTACAATTTTTAAGAAAATTGTCAATTTCACCAAATCTGTAGATACATTGTGTAATTATTCTGATCAATTCTCTAATATATATACGTATATTAATATATATTAATATAATGCAATATATTATGTAACAAATAATGTAATGGAAAATAATATCATATATTACCGAAAATTGTACTATAATAAAAGCACTTATAATAAAATAATATATCTAGTATTATATAATACACAAGGTATGCAAATCGAAACAATTTAATACTAACCACCAATAAAATACTCAATTATAAACAAAATTTCGTAAATATATAAACGAACATCTGCTTCGCATACGTTACACCTACGTCACATACCCACACATACACTACAAAAGAGTAAAATCTTAACAATAAACGATCACTTTAAAAAATCAAGAAACGCAATAATCAAAAATCTAAACCTACCACAAACCCACTCAAAACCAAAAAACAAGCGTTTTCAAAGGTGAAAATACGCAATGATTAAAACTGAAAAACGAAAATCAAGTCAATTGTAATTTTCAAGGACACAACCTAAGAATAATTCACCGACACACCATCGACTTAAGTCTAACGATATTAGATCAAGGCACCGAAAAAATTCGTTAACAGCTGGGGTAACGCTATTTTACGACTCCTATACTACACAAAGTTCCAGTAACGTATCAAAGAGTCGCGTAGAATCCCCCCTTCCAGAAGAAGTGCTTTCCTGCGCACCTATAAAACCAGTGAAAGCGCCAGTCGACCCTCCAGACTATCGCACAGTACGACAGCGGCAGGAGCTCTGCCGGTTACCGTCACGACAGACTTAGATTGTCAATTAACGATCTTTCACAATAAATCGAAAGTTTCGACAACGAAAACACTCGGTCACGCGCTTCTCGTGTCACGGTACCTACCACACGCTCGCCGACTATTTGTGCTTAGAGTAGCTCAGGCCAGGAGTGACAATGAAGATGATAGTTGCCAAAATTCTGATCGTCGTGTCTCTGACTGGAACACAGGTGTTAGGATACCCTCCGCAGGAGAGACTCAGGCCAGGTATGTGGACAATCTTTCTTTTATCGTATTACGTGAGAGTTATTCGGATTGACCGTTTCTTGGCTGACAGGATGGAAGACAGGTGACGTTTCACGTGTGTGATTCCACTGTGTTAAAAGAGTTTTACGATGACAAGATTCGGTAGACACTTCGGAAAATTGAAAATTCTGTGAAAATTGTTATTTCGCGTAAATTGTTTATTTTTCTCAATTTTTTGACCACGCGTTGTAAATTTTAATGGATGGAAGTAGCGAATGTGACATGGCCAGTTTAAATTGCCGCCTAAATTGTTGCTTATTGATCACTGGGCTGTGAGAAAGTGTCGAGTCGAATAATGTATTCCGTGATTATGAATAAGAATGAAAATGATTGTGCTTGTGAAGGATTGTTAAATATTCGTCGTAATTTGGAAAATTAGTTTGACCTACTTTTATGATAAATTTTTTCGTGTATTATAGTTGAAAACTTTTAAATGTGTTTCTCGGATTCGGGTGTTATTTTTTAAATATAATTTAATTATTGATATTGTTCTGAAATTTTTAATTTCGATTAAAATTGAATTTCAATTTAGGAATGAATTATTTAAAAAATATGAAAATCGATATACAAGATGATTGAAATTTGTAAATACATTTTATAATATTTATATTTATTGTGATCTTTAATCTAAATGTCTGAATTGAATTTCTACGAATTTTACTTAAATTTAATTACTATTCATTGATCTTTTATTTGTACCAATAAATTGTTTTTAATATGTTCTCATTTAAGTTAAACAGAATCTTATCATAATTTCTTCTACTATACATTTTACTATATATTTTATTCACAATACTGTAATAAAAATGCATTGCTCAAAATGTAATTTTCCTCTTGACTTTCTTAAATTTAAATGTATCATAATCTCACGCGTTTATTGAATAATTTGTAATATAAGATATCCATTTCAAATATTACTTTTTTCAAATGATAATTCAATGCATCTTATACATATACGAATTTAATATATAATTTACAATAGATAAGGTCCCATATCAAATTTTCTTTTTAAAATATTAATTCATCCTATCTCATTTTCTCTTCGCTTTATTAAGTTCAAGTGTATCACATACACATAAATTAATTTAATAATTCGAAACAAAGGAGAATCCATCTCAAATAATTCAATAATTTCGTTATGGAAATAATTATTATTATTTTTCTTCTTTTTTCAAATAATAATTTTACTATACAATAATTCCATCAGAAATATTTCTTTTTAAGGGTTAATTCTATTACAAGCCAGCTTATTAAATTCATAACGTACAACGGTTAAATTAAAAGCACGATGAAAAATTTAGTCGTGCAGAGTAATAACCGAGATAAATTTATTTAATAATTCGAAACAAAGGAGAACCCATCTCAAATAATTCAATAATTGCAAATAATAATTTTACTATACGATAGTTCCATCAGAAATATTTCTTTCCAAGGATTAATTCTATTACAAGCTAGCTTAAATTCATAACGTAGAACGGTTAAATTGAAAGCACGATGAAAAATTTAGTCGTGCAGAGTAATAACCGAGATAAATTTATTAAATAATTCGAAAGAAAGGAGAACCCATCTCAAATAATTCAATAATTGCAAATAATAATTTTACTATACGATAGTTCCATCAGAAATATTTCTTTCCAGGGGTTAATTCTATTACAAGCTAACTTATTAAATTCATAACGTAGAACGGTTAAATTGAAAGCACGATGAAAAATTTAGTCGTGCAGAGTAATAACCGAGATAAATTTATTAAATAATTCGAAAGAAAGGAGAACCCATCTCAAATAATTCAATAATTGCAAATAATAATTTTACTATACGATAGTTCCATCAGAAATATTTCTTTCCAGGGGTTAATTCTATTACAAGCTAGCTTATTAAATTCATAACGTACAACGGTTAAATTGAAAGCACGATGAAAAATTTAGTCGTGCATAGTAATAACCGAGATATTAACATAATAAGAGCAAGACCATCGTATCACGTATAACACGTAACCCAGCATGCGCTGTTTCGTGTCGGTAAATTTGATCTAGTGCACACAAGGCTGGTAGGCAAATCCCGCTAAGTTTACTACCTCTAATCGTCGCAATTAACTAGCCAAGAGCGTCAATCTTTGCTGCTTTTCTTCTTTCTCTTTCCCTTCCCTTTCTTCCCTCTCGCGTTCGCCTTTATGCCAGACAATTACAGCCCTACCCTTTTCCCATTCTTCGTTTCTCTTTCGCTCTCATGAAAGTAGAACACTTCCTTCTACAGATGCTAATCACGATAATCTCACACGGTGAGTCGGCTCCTCTGTACGTGACAGCATTCAAAATTGTTACAGTAAAATTCCCCTCCACGCATCACCTTTCACCCCTTGCCCCCCGCCATTTTGTTCTCCGTATCGAACCTTGAACTCCAGTCAAATTTCTTGGACCGGAAGTATAAGCGATCCTCGAGTTCCATTGTTATGTAGTTCATCTTTATAGAAAAATTATTATTTCCGAAATATGATTAAATTTGTGCTTAAGTCTCATTATACAGGTAAACTAATTTCATTAGAATTCTCTGAAAACTATCATCTTTCGTCCTTTATTCTCTGCCATTTTGTTTTGCATATTAAATCTTGAATTCTAGTAGAATTTCTTGAACCGGAAGTAGAAGTTATCCTCGAATTCCATTAGTATACATTTTCTGTTTATAGAAAAATTATTATTTGCGAAATATAATTAAATTTCTGCTTCAGTCTCATTATACAGGTAAACTAATTTTATTAGAATTCTTTTCCAATTATCATATTTCATTATTTGCTATCTGCCATTTTGTTCTCCGTATCAAACCCTGAACTCGAATCAAATTTCATAAACCGGAAGTATAAGTGATCCTCAAGTTCCATTATTACATAGTTCTTCTTTATAGAAAAATTATAATTTGCGAAATATGATTAAATTTCTGCTTCAGTCTCATTGTACAGATAAACTCTGCTATTTTGTTTTGCATATTAAATCTTGAATTCTCGTCGAATTTCTTGAACCGGAAATATAAGTGATCCTCGAGTTCCATTATTATATAGTTCTTCTTTATAGAAAAATTATTATTTGCGAAATATGATTAAATTTGTGCTTAAGTCTCATTATACAGGTAAACTAATTTTATTAGAATTCTCTTCCAATTATCATATTTCGTCCTTTGCTATCTGCCATTTTGTTCTCCGTATCAAACCTTGAATTCGAGTCAAATTTCATGAACCAGAAGTATAAAAGTGATCCTCGAGTTCCATTATTACATAGTTCTTATTTATAGAAAAATTATTATTTCCGAAATATGATTAAATTTGTGTTTGAACTTCATTACACAGATAAATGAATTTTATTAGAATTCTCTGCAAACCCATTTCATCCTTTGCTCTCTGCCATTTTGTTTTGCATACTAAATCTTGACCTCCTGTCGAATTTTTTGAAGCGAAACTAGAAATGATGCTCGAATTCCATTAGTATATATTTCCTCTTTGTAGGAAAACCGTTATTTCTGAAATATGATTACATTTTTCTTCGATCTCGTTAGCCCGTAAACCAGTTTTATTCGTTGTAATAAGGTATTATTATATTTTATTGTCAATAAAATTGTGGATAATATTCCCTTTCGTGCATCAAACGATCGTTTCAATCGTTATCTGACAGGAAAATATTCAAACGATGGAGTGCTGCGTAACGGTTTAACCCTAACAATGTTGCGCCCTCTATCGAGGCGTTAAAGCCCTCCATATTAAGAAAATGTCCAAAGAATATATGAATTACATATACACGTTTACGTGGCTTTAAATTGAAGAATATATTTTATTTGGCATTCCCGTTACTAATCGTGCCGAGTTTCCATGGAATTTTATAGGTTTAAATCTTGAAAACGTGCCTTTAATTGGCTTGTTTACCGTGAGACGAAGGTTAAATCAGTTAAATGATCTTATTGCAATGTTTAGTTTATTACACTGTCGAAAAATTGATTGACAAAAGCTTGTGATTTAATATATTCGATAGTATCCTTGAATTATTTTTATATAAAAGTAAAAATTAATTAATAATGATTAAATTTTCACAAGGATTTCTCGTGTGTAGATTTATCTTCGTAAATTTGAAAATATTTTACAATATTATCCTTTATATAAATTTTATTAAGACAGATTCTTAAATAATATATTGAACAATATTTTGTTACTGGAAAATTAATTTTAATATTAAGAATATTGTAAATGAGCTAATAATTGGAGATTTTATTTTGGTTATCAAGACGTTAAAAAAATATTATGTGTCTCCATTAAAAAAGACAATTGCAATTAAACTCTACAATTATACTAAAATACTTCCGGAAGAAATCGTACTATACAATAGTAGGTCATATTAAACGATGAAAAATTTTTTCACAATTTTTTCCTATCTTCAATAGCATTAGGATTGTAATTTGTTACTAAACTCACTAGACTATTTACTAGATTCATACATGTAATAGGATTAGGATTGTAGTCCAATTTTGTTACTAGACTCACTAGACTATTTACTAGATTCGTATATACAGAGTAGTCCGTGCAATTTACAATTAGATTACGGTTAATATAGGTCAGTACTTTTTTCCAAACATTCGATTTTTTGATATTTTCATGTAGAGAATATATATGTATTTTATAACATAAAATAATGAAATTTACTTTAAAATCGTTGAAATTCCACCTATTTTACAGGGGAGGTTCACGTACTATATGATGTGTCCTTTTGAACCATGCTACATTCAAACGAAAAATTTTTTTGTGTAATGCATAGCTTAAAAGTTATTCGAGGTGTGCAAATTATGTGGACCACCTTATATATCAGTGGCAATAATATTTCTCTGACCTACTTTCTCTTCTTTCCCCTTTCTTCTTAAATTTCGTAGTATATCGAATAAGGAAATAATTATTAACTAGAAATAATTATTTATTTAATTTATTACGA